AAAAAAAAAGGCAGTAAAATCTTCCAGGATTGAAGGCATCAAGTAAGCATAAAGCCATCTCTCCACCAAAATGGGACCGCACCTCTGTATAATGCTTACCTCAATTATGCCTAAGATCATTTCCATCACTGTCCATGACCCTTCATGCTTTTACAATATTACAGTGGGCTTGCAGCACAGATGAGCTGGATGGTATGATGTGGTACCGGACTGTAAAGTTGGTAACAACCTTGTCCTAAAATGGGTCTAATTCTATAGTTGGTTGTACCAGAGGGACAGCAATATCTGCAAAATGATCATGAGCTTGCCAGGAAATCCAAACAGCTGTGTAGGGGAAGATAGCGGAGATGGTTATGGAAATGCTACTGCTGAGGTAACTGAAGCCAGGCCCTTCATACTGTTTTGAACCAGTTTTATCAATGTAGCTAACAATCAGGAAACTGGAGTCCACAAGCCCCTCTATAGCTGTCCTTCTGTATGATAATATCATTAAACTGAAAGTAATGGAGCTCTGGTAGCATAGTGGTTACGAATTGGGCTGCTAACCTCAAGGTTGGCAGTTCGAAACTACCAGCTGTTCCATGGGAGAAAGATGAGGCTTTCTGCTCCTGTAAAGATTTGCAGCCTCGGAAACCCCGTGCAGGGTCACTATGAGTCGGAACCCCAACTCTATGGTACTTAACAACCAAGAACCCCAGAGTCCTGGTGTGGCGCTGTGGGCTAATGCATCAGACTGCAAAGTCATTTGAACTGCAAAGGTCAGTGGTTCAAGCTCACCAGCTGTTCCTTGGAAACCCTACACAGGGTCGCTATGGGTTGGAATCGACTTGATGGCACTTAACAACAACAACAATCAGGAACCCAATAAGGAAGTGATTCTGGGAAATGTAGTCCCTAGTCACACCAAAGTTAACATAGCATAAGTCACCCAACCACCTATACGTCAAGCTTTCATCTTCATGTCACAAGGCCTCTTTAATTGGATCCAATATTGTCTCAGACAAGACAAACAAAATATAAAAATAGAGTGTCATATAAAACTGAACTTTTTTACATAATCATCATCCTCTGCTGAAAGTACTTATTGAATTTCTGCTTTTGTCAAGTGGCATGGAGTTGGTTCCAACTCAGTCAGCCCTGTACGGGGTTTCTGAGAAGAGGCTAGTGGGTGTGAACCACCAACCTTGTGGCTCAAACTGGCCTTGTGATGCAATGCTGTGTCCTACAGTGCCACACCAGGATTTATTGAATAAGAAAGTCTCCTAAGATTAAAATCTGATAATTTACAAAACTGTACGTTTTTAGTGATGGTGATGGTATGCTGTGGAGTCAGTTCCAATTCATAGTGGTCCTGTATAGAGTTTCCGAGGCTGTAAATTTTTTATGGAAGCAAAAAGCCCCATCTTTCTCCTGCAGAGCCACTGGTAGATTCAAACTGATGACTTTACTCATAATATACTAAGCTACCAGAGCTCCTTATAAGTTCTTAGTAAAAAAAGAAAAAGAAAAGTAGATAAATAATGGGTAAGCACTTTCCAGCATCTGGCAAGCTTGATCAAAAGATATTCTCAAGAAATACTTTAGTATTAACACCATGATGACTGGACACTTGAATAACGTACATTAGAAAACATTTTTTAAAACCACCACTCTTAGGCATATATATGTACATATGTATGCATTTTCTACATTACAAAACCAGGATCCCATGTATGTTGTTGTTGTTAAGTGCCGTCGAGTCGGCTCCAACCCATGTTGTTAAGTGCCGTCGAGTCGGTTCCCTGTATAGGGTTTCCGAGAAGCAGCTGATGAGCTTGAACCATCAACCTTGCAGTTCAAACAGCTTTGCAGTCTGGCGCATTATGTATATATATTTATATATATAT